TCTTCTGAGGACACTCGGCAGTCATCATCCTGATAGCTTTAGGCTACAGAGGTGGTTAACTCTCTCCATTCCAGCTTCTGCTTGGCCATTTGCCTCACTGAGTGGCTTCTGCGTCCCACCCGCAGTGCAGTGTAGAACCACTTGAAAACAGACTGCCTAGACTATATCAGACATGCACTCTGCCCTTAATGGATCTCTCCTTCTCGATTCAAATCACACTGCTTGACTCGCTCCAGCCATACCCCTGTCCTTCTCTAACAATGCCTGTAATAGAAAAAAAAAAAAAAACTAAAAAATAATAAATCACACCAATCTGGGTCCCGAATAATAGGTTAGTTAAATGTATCGTGAGTCATTAATATCATGGAATATTATTCAACCAATAAAAATGGTGATGCAGTAGATAAAATAACAAGCCTGACAAGCCCACTGTACACTGTACGGGAAAGTCAAAATCTAAGTTCCACTGAGTATGCAGCAGGATCCCAGCAATTTACTTTCCTAGCTTAGAGATATATGGTTGGTTTGTTTTTCCTTTTTCTTTTTCTTTTCTTTCTTTTTTTTTCTTCTTCTTCTTAAGACAGCATTTCTTTGTGTAGCCCTGGCTGTCCTGGAGCTAGCTCTATAGACCAGGCTGGTCTCAATATTTTTTTTCTTTTTTAAGGTCGCTATTTTATAACCTCTTTAAATATATATATTATTTTGTGAAAACAAAACTTTCAAAGATGAAAGGGTTCAAAATATGCAATGAAAAAGTGTTGGTTTGCAAGAGCCCTGTGTCTTGACCCCATGTGTTCCATCAGAACAGGCCGGCTAGACCTACCGGCTGAGTTAGCTCTGAACCTCAGGAGCCACACAAGGCTTTGCCTGAGGGCTCCTTCTGCTGTCAGGTAACGTAGAGCCTTGCTTTCCATGGAAGCCAGGTTTATAGAGAAGCTAGGCTACTTCAGCTGTGGTCCTGGCCTAGAGGAGGCACCATCTCCAGTTCCACTCGAGCTCCTGGATTAGTGGTCTTCAAGGCTTTGGCAGAAAAACCTGTTGTTATGTCCGGGCAGTACTTTCTATAAAACATCTAAACAAAACATCTACTGTCTGGCTGAATAGAGGGCCGAGGACACTGATCTAATCACACCTCCTTCACTTCCTTCTCCAAGTCCTCTCCTGCAGGGTGTTCACTGTCGCTCTGGAAACTGTGTTGCAGGTTTTCAAAGTGACGCATTGACAAACTAGTCATAGACGGTTTTTAAGAAGGCAACTTCTGTTCCAGCAAAAGGTTTGTTGACTGATGGTGTGACATCTTACCAAGTTACTTTTACTTCTGGAACACGCCCATGGGTCCCACGCACACTTGACTTCCTTGAAGGCCAAGCTTGCTCAATGGAGAAAGTTTCTTCTCACGTCCACCTACAAACCCCTGCAAAACTCAGACTTCTCGTTTGTGTTCTGCTGACCTCTAACACCTATGGTGACAAGAGTGTCCCTTTGCCTGTAGTTAAACCTAGTACTTTACACACAGACCCTACAATACTTCAACAACGTCTTCTTCCTATTTTGTGACATGGAGTCCAACGTAGGCTACAAACATTACGTAACTGGGCTCTGCTGATAGGACTGAAAACTCTCACCCAGCCATGGGTTTGTTATGTTTATGTTTGCGCCTTTCTGTGTCTATGGGGTTGAGAGATACTGAAAGAGGCGGAGGGAGGAATCCAAAGGTGGACATTAGTGGGATGTAGGCAGTGGAATATCTATTAAACATCCTGAAGTAAGTAGAACCTATGAATCCTGGAGAAAAAGCTATCTCAAATGGAATCTAACTCAGCTAGATTTAGCTTTGGGTCTCTTGGTAGGAGGGGACGGTGTAAAGAATAAAGGATGTTACTAGGTGTCCCTGAAGCCCAGGTAATACGAGAGCACCTGTACGTTCTGATGCTAAAGGGTCGAGTTTCCAAACAAAACCTCCACTTTTCTGTTTTCAACTTCTCTAGAAAACAAAAACTCCGCAGACGGAGATCAGCATTCCAGCTGGCAGAAAAAGAGACAAGCCACCTAAAGAACAGAAAACACAATGGGACATATTCCAGACCCTAAGCACAGGGCTAACAGGGCCTGTCCTGAGCACAGTGGGCAACCACCCAGCAAAGACAACTGTGCTGAAAGTGGGAATTCTGGGATGGTCAATAGCCTGAACCAACGAACAGGAGCACAGGAGACTCAGCAGGAGCTGGGTTTTGAAACAGGGTCAAGAACAAGATAGCAACTGAAAGCGAAGCAGAAGTGGTGGATATTCAGCTGTCCAGAGCCACAAGTAGGAGCACCACGAGTCAGCATGAGTGTTCTCTAAAGCAGGAGCAATGTGGTGGAGGATGAGGAGGGGAAGTCTAGTCATTAATAAGAGGCTCAACTAGCCAGCCTCCGAAATCATCATGCCACAGAGATCTGTGTACCAGCAGTCTGTTCTCATGGAGGTTCACTGTACATGAAACGCTGCACACAGAAACCACGCCATTGTATCATGAGATACCCAGGGTTCTTACTGGTGCACACGTGTAATTCAAGCTCTTGGGTGGTGGAGGCAAGACGATTCTGAGCTAAAGATCTGCCTGGACAAATTACAAATGATTTTAAAAACAAATGTGTCTAAGCAGTACATTCCAGAGGATACATGAAAATATACTATAGACTCAAAAGTCCTGTAATTTATTATATTAATATGCATGCTAAAGTTCAAAGTTTGCATAAAATTTGAATATATGTAACAATATTTACAAGTTTTAGCTTTGAAAGTGTGATTTTTGTTATTGACAGGCAGGGCTATTTCAGTATGTGTCAATTAACCCTCCTGAGTTCGGGGAGAAAGGGGCTACAGGAAGTGTCTGAACTGAGAAGGGGCAGGACTTCACTCTGTTCCAGTCCCTTTCCCAAGACTGGATGCTTTGGAAGCTCCAAGCTCAAAGCATCACTGCTGGATACAGAAGAAAGAATCCAATCATTGCTGTAGACAATAAAATACTATTAACTTCTAGTATATATATGTGCTTTTTTTCTTAAAAAAACACTTTCATTTAGACAGAAAGTTTGCATGAACATGTAAAATACAGTTAGCAAGAACAGAGCAATTTGGAAATAGGTCTACAGAGGCACTGCAGGAGCTGCAGGTTACTTTACAGACATGGCCACACCACACACACACACATAACAACAACAACAAGTCCCACAAATGGTGAAGAAACTTGGGTTGACCTCAAGTTCCTGAGGAACATGAGCTTTGCCAAGAAGCACAACAAGAAAGGCTTGGAGCAGATGCAAAGGCATTGAGTGTGCAAGCAGAGGCCATCAAGGCCCTTGTGACGCCTACGTTAAGCCCAAGATGCCAAAGGGCCCCAGCTGCAACCTCAGCTGTCTAGGTTTCATTGCTCATGCCAAACTTGGAAAGTGGATTCAAACTACATGGTCAAGGGTCATAGGCTCTACCAACCAAAACCCCAGGTTCATTCCAAGGCAGAGGTCACAGCTCCAGCTAAGGCCCAGGCTTCAGCCCCAGCTCAGGCTCCCAAAGGTACCCAGGCCCCTGTGAAGGCTCCATAGGAAAGGCTTCTGCTAATGTGAAGACAGATGGACTGGTGTGACACACCCACATATACACTGTTTACAGTGACAAGTGTCCTATTCTGATTTTTACAAATAAACCCAAAGCAAAATAAAAAAGAAAGGAAGAAAGAGGAGAAGAGGAGAAGAGGAGAAGAGGAGAAGAGGAGAAGAGGAGAAGAGAAGAGAAGAGAAGAGAAGAGAAGAGAAGAGAAGAGAAGA